AAGGTTTCATCCTTGTGTTTTAATGTGTAAACAAAACCATAGCGACTGTAATCGTCTACTATTGTTAGGAAGTAACGTTTTCTATAAGTGATTGATGGAGTTAATGGACCAACTAAGTCCATGTGTACTAAGTCAAAAATTTTGTTAGTTGATCTGGTGGATTTTTTTGGTCTGGGACTAGTCTTTAATTTAGTAGATTTACATACTGAGCATTCCAAATAATTTTCACAATTTTTTATTTTGACACCTTCTGCGTGTTCAGTCATTTTTTGTACTACAGGAAAACTTACATGTCCTAACTTCCTATGTAAGATATGAGCACACTCGTCATGAATTGGTTTACCTATTTTTGGTTTCTTCTCATTGTGTGTATCTGTGTGATCATGAGATATTTTACATTCATCATTGTCACTGTTACTAATATTTTCATCATCTGCCTCAATGCAATCTTCCATATTTGAATCAATGTTATGTAACCATCTTTCTTTTGTTATCAGATAGGGTAGACCTCCTTTAATCATCACAGTGCCTACATTTGTTTTATTCTTTTCTAAAGTTGCTTTTCCCTTTGAGAAAACTATATTGATGTCAGAATCTCTGCTTAATTTTATGACACTTAGTATGTTATGAGGTATTTCTGGTATTAACAATACCCCCTCTATTTTTCCTAGACCAGGCAAGGTCACATTCCCTCTGCCTAGTACTTGAACTTTTTCTTGATTAGCTACCTTTATTACAAATTTATCTTCTGTAAATGAAGACAATATATTTTTGTTATTAGTGGTGTGATTAGTTGCTCCTGAATCAATAAGCCAATTATTGTTCTCATTTGGTTGCGTTTTGGTGCTATCTTGTTTATTTAGTCCATTCAATGAACCAGATTTTCTCTCTTTTGAATTTTCCCTGCCCCCTCTACTTTCTCTGTAATTTGGTGGGCTTCTATATTTATGTCTATCTGTGGAAGACTGTCTATAATTGTATTTATTCCTATATTCTGACCTGTGTCTTTCCTTTAAAATTTTGGGACAATCTCTTCTATTGTGTTCTCTGGACCCACAATTGTGGCATTTAAAGATTTCATTATATTTTTCTTGGAAAGCTACCTTCCTAAAAGGTTTGTATTCTGTGTGATTGCTATAACGATTTTTTCTTGAATTGTCTTCTGCTATCAATTTGTTAGACAGACTTTCTACTGATAAATATCCTAGATTGATGGTGTCTAAGTGTGACATAAAACTATCCCATGATGAATCAAGTGAGTTAATAATGACACTTTTCATTGTTTGATCTGAAATCACTTCCCCCCTCAAATGCAGTTCAGCTCTTATTTTGTTTAAAGATATTAAATGCTCACTTATGGAAACCCCTGGTTTTACTCTGGAAGAAAAGAAGTCCTTAGACATTCTTGTGGTGGTAGCTACACTATCGCTGTGAAACAAATTAAACATGCATTGAATTATTTCTGAGACAGTTAGATTTAGTTTGATGCTATGATACATTGCAGGAGACACGCTAGATATTATTAAGAAAAATGCCTTATGGTGTAAACAATCTATTTTTAAAGTCCAAGGTCTTCTTGGGGGACTAGTGATAAAGAATAGTAAATTTTCTTTCATAAAGACAACCTGGAGCTGTTGATACCATTCTTGTAAATTAATGCCATCAACTCTAAGTTTTGGGAAGTCATTGGGTAAGTTACCCACATTATTTTGTCCATTACTTACAACCTGAGGCAGTCCGTGGTCTCGCAAGTGTAGAAAATTGCAAAACGGCATGGGGATGCTCGCAACGAGTCTGCGCGGTTCTCTGGCCAGTTCAAGTCTTTCCGGACCGTCTACGTAGTTTCGCACATGCGCGTTGTTCATTTCTTCTTTGACTTCGTCGTGGAAGGTTCTCTCCGTCGCAGCTCGCTCGCTCCGTTCCTCTTCAGATGAGTCGGTCTCTGGCTCGGTCTTAGGAGTTCTGATGGCGGCGACTGTTCTTCTCTTTCTTTTGGGTGCGTTGGCACTTGCTTCGGTCTGCGGTGTAGGTCGGAATCGACACGGCTCTCTGGGCTCGGGCGTCGTTGTTCTCGAAGTCAGGATGGGAGCGTGCAGGTCTTGAAGTATCGGCTTGTCTGCTTGCTTCTTCGTTGGCGCTTTGGAAATTTTTAATTTTGGCCCGAATGCGGCAAAAAGCGTCTTCATTGCTGACTTTACTTGTGATTTCGTTAAATCGTTTTCATTTTCTGATTCTGGCTCTTCCGAAGAGTTTGAATCCTCCTTTTCACTTTCGTTGTCTGATAACGTTTTTCGCGCCAGAAATTTTGAACTGAGCATTTTGATTGGCTCTGCTTCGCTCGCTTTGGAGGCTTGTTGAAACCAAGATGGCTGCCATTCAAAATTTCGCGCGGGATCACATCTTTTCTTTTTCGTAACGACTTTCTCTGTAGTCATATCACTCACAGTTTTTTGTTCTTTGGGTTTCTCTTTAGCGATGTTTTTCTCTCTCGCTGCTCCGCTGTTCTTCAGCATTTCTTGGAGGTTCGCGATGAGGCTTTCATCATTCTTCTGGCTTTTCAAAATCTTTAGTATCTCTGACCTGAGTTCGTTATTTTCTATTTCGATTTCTTCCTGGCCATCATTTTCATTTATTAGTTCTTCTTCTTCAGTGGTGTATTCTTCGGATTCTCTCGAAATCGCGTTTGTGGATTCGTTGATTATTTCTTGTTCAGTTTCTATTTCTTTGCTGTAGGCCCTGGTGTTGGGCCTATCTTTCTTAGACATTTTTAGTTATTTATTGAGTCAATTAACCATCCTCTGCTACCAGTTTGTTGCAATATTTTTAGGATCAGACTCAATAATAATAATTAGAATTAGAGGTTCAAATATAGTTCTCTTTAATCATAGTAGGCATTCTATATTCACTGAATATTCACAGATAGAAGCAAGGAAAAATGGCGAAGGTGGCTCCTTATATATACAAAGGGTGGAGCCAAGAGTGGGAGTGGTGAATTATGAATACATTAAGAAACAAAGAATAAGTTAACCCCTGATATCCCATATATACATTATTTACACATTAGGGAATAAGGCATTTACATCTGACAATATTAATAACGATTGCAGTGTTCTGGGGTCATGTGATCACCTTCTAACAAGCAAAGTCAATGGGAAAGTTTAACAATCATATTACTAACTTAACTGCAGTAATTCACTTAACTGTGGCAGGAAAGGTTATAAAATGGGGCAAAACCCAGTTAACGTTTTGCTTAGTAACAGAATTGGGCTCAATTGTGGTTGTAAGTCAAGGACTACCTGTATAGTAGTTTGCCTGCTACGTTGTGGTTTCCTCTGGTATTTCACAAAAAGACTAGAACACGTTACCTCAGCAGCCAATGCTCAGATAAGCAAGGATCAATGCCAGACAGTGATCAGGCAGAAATTGTATAAAGTTAGCACCTACCCGTCTCCTAGAAGAATGAAATATTTTGAGAAATATTAAAAAGGCAGAATATTATATTTCCCTGGATGAGAAATGGAGAAACATGTTTTTTTAGAGGCAGGAAGCAGACTCACTCTTAATAGCCCCCACTTTTCTTAATAGCCCTCAGCAGATGTCAGTACTTAAGATACAGAGATAAAGAGATAGATAGCTCTATTCATAAGCAAATTCCCCGCAGCAAGGTCTGAACAAAGGTAGGGTTAGCCCTCAGCCACAATAGGAATTGCCCAACAAGCCCCTTCATTGCATCAGCCCAAACTTCAACCAAACGTAGCTCAGACAAACTCCTAGGATTTGTACATGGCACCACGGGAGTCTGACAACAGCCAATAGAATACATGTTCTGGAACAGGAACAGGAAACTCATGTGCAAAGCCCAAGTGAAGGTATAAATACCCTCTACTCTCAACTCCATGTGGTCAGCTACCCAGAATCACACATGCTTGGCGGTCCTGCTTCATCAATAAATGGGCCCTCTTTCCAATCAGCCTCCAGCCTCTATTCTGTCTCCAGTGCCTTTCTCCCAGCTTGGAACTGAACCAGATGGATATTTCTTCCAACACTGTTGTGAGGAAAATAGGAGGAGGAAGGTGTGTTGAATAGGTTTGCCACCTTGAGTTATTTGTAAAAAAAAAAAAAAAAGGCAAGATTTAAAAAAAAAACCTTTTATAAAATAGCGGGATTTGTTTAATGACAGCAACTAGAGCTGCCAGAACTGGTGTGCATCAAGGGTCCATATGACATTGTTCCTTACGACTACATTACTTCGTGACAGAATTCCCAGTACCAATTACCAATGATGATGATGCCTGGAATGCACTACCTGAGTCTGGTTTCATCCCAAAACCCCCAAAATGTTAACCTTAGACTGGCTATGGTTGATCTCACCCCATTCCTAAAAGGTCTGTAAGGGTGTCCATAAGAGCACCAGCAATCCTTCCGTCCCTGTCCTAATGTTCCCTTTAATTGTATTCATTTTATGTATTCAATTCATGCTTATACTTATATATATTATCTAATATGTACTCGACAAATAAAATAAAATAAATAAAATAAACAAGGACACCTGTAATAATGTTGAAAACAATATAAAACGTAATTCCTGGACAATAACTTAAATATGTTCATGTTGTAATGTTCTTTACAATAATCTATAGATGGAAAAGCATATTAGCATTAACAAATGCATGGATTATAAAACAATACCTACTGCAAAAGCGGACGGGCTTACATATCAGGCTAAGCCATTATTTAACCACGGTTCATTCAATAAACTGCTGTTGCTTCACAAATCATGGTTTATAAACCACGGGGAGTTGAAACTGGCAGGACTGCAAGGTGTGTCTTTCCTAATAAGCCATGCTTTAATTAAGCCTTTAGTCCCAAGCAACATGCACTAGAACCACTCTTCGCTTGCGCAACCCTGTTAATGCAACAATGCGCTGTCCACCTCGCTGTTCCACTTTTTCTTCCCCCTGAGGCGGAACCTTTCTTGCCGACTCCGCGTGGCCGGCCGGACCGCTTTTGATAAAGCACCTCTGCGCTTTTTTTTCCTGACCAAGATGGCGCTGCCCATAGTACGATGCTGCTTGCAGAGAGGTGAGGGTCTCGATCCGGCGTGGATCACATCCGTAGAAGCCCTTTTTCCTCCCTTCCCAGCTTAATTTCTCTCCAAAATGTCTCAGTTTGGGATTTTACATTATTAATAATAATGCATTATATGGATATGCCCCCCTCCCGACTCCCAGCAGGACGATGGGTTTAGAATGGGGCTATTGCTGTAGAGCAGCGTTTCTTAACCACTTGCCAAATATTAAAGATGTTTGCAAAAATCATATTCTTTCCATTCTTTTAATTTGCTGACAATAGGGCTTTTCATGAAAAATATTTATGGTAATATCTAATAGGGTTAATATGATAAATAAATATTCTACAAACGCATGTCTTTGGAAGTTTTCACCTGCCAGCAAAGCCATGGATCTAATTTATAGCTGGCTGAACCCACCATCCTAATTTATATGATTATATCATGTATATATTGTAACATAACAATGTGCAATATAAGATGTTTATTTTTTATTTTACCTCCCTATAAGATGACTTTGGCCAGCTTAGAAGTAATATACAGTTTAAATAATAAATATCCCCAGACAGAGGATTTTTCTTTCACTGAATGAGCAGCTACTTAATTGTTTTTTGATTAATTTATTGTAAATCAGGGTGTGTCAATTGTTCACAGAGTCTCTTTTTAGGAGTATCTTTGGGCCATTATTGGTAAAAAGCATGGAAGCAGATAACCTATTTTGAAGTAAGGAAGTTGATGAAATTGGTGTGAAATCTAAAGGTACAGCAAATTTCCCCAAATCCAGATTTTTTTAAAGAAATAATTCCAGATATACCCTGAGCTGGCTGGCCTTCATCCTTACCCCCAGCCATCAAAAATTACAGAGTCTGGCTATACTGAATAATTCTAAAGAAAACATCTATGAGTACATCTGAAGAAATAGACATTTTAGATTATGCTCGTATATAAAATACAGCCCGTTCTGAGAGCAATTCTAAATTGAAAGCTGATTTCTCCGGAGTCTCATTTGGCTGCAGATGAACTGAAGATAAACAGTTGTAATTTTTAATTTAAAAAAAAATCATCCAGCAGTTATTCAAAATATATTTTTAAATTTGAGAACGGGAAAGTTCTGCCAAACCATGTTACAGTACTTGCAAATATCAGTGCTGTGTTGTCTATAGATTTTTTTCTGTTACAAAGGTCTAGAAAAGCCATACCAACTTATGCAATTAAGTGACATGACTAGCAATATAGTTCATTTTGGATTGTTATTGTTTTTGTCTTTCTACAGTTTTTGCTCAGAGTCCTAGCCACATTTCCTCTAGAATTGTTCAGTATCCTGTAGTGGTTCCTTGTTTTACCAACTTACTTGTTCCCAGTAGAAAGTATGCTGCAAAGTAAGTAAATAAGGGGGATTAATTTGAATAGTTAACAGAAATATTTGTACAAACAGACAAACATGCCTATACATAGATACATACAGATAGTCTTGGGATCGCATGATTGCCATTTGTGATTTTCCCCCTGACTTCTGATAAGCAAATTTATTGGAGGAACTCAGATTCATTTAACATTTGTGTTAACAATTATGGTGGTTTGCTTAATGATTGCAGCTAAAAGGTCATAAAATTGGGTGCAACTCACTTAACTGCCTTGCTTAGCAACAGATGTTCCAATTCCAATTGTGGTTGTTAAGTTGAGGACTACCATTAACATAAATAGAAATATGACGGGGCCAGACAAACTTCAGACCAACTAGTATCTGAGTTCAGATATGCAATCTATTCTTAATAAAGTACTGTACACTATCCACTATAAAATATACTTTCTAACAGGGTGGATTTGATTTAAATCATCATTTAAAACACTAGTAAAAAGGCTTGATTTAAATCAACTCGATTTAAATCATAATTTTTAAAGAGCAACTGTCATTTCTGCTACTCCTTTGACCCACTGTTGACTCACCGATAGTCCCAGTGTTGCAGAATACTGCCCCAATCCCCAAAATGCAATGCGAGCACCCCCCGCGCATGCACCCTGCCCCCACGCATGCGCCCTGCATCCCCGGCCCCTGTTTTGGCTTCCAGGTTGGTGCAGGAGGCTTTCCAGGCCCAAAACGTGGCACGGGGGGGCTCACGTGACTCCCCCGCACCCTATTTTGGCTTCCCCAATCTCTACAGTTTCTCGCCCCAGTGCATCCTAGCTTTCTCCTACATTTCTGCCATGGCGAGGTACCTGCGGAGGGTGGAACCTGCGGAGATTGGGGAAGGCATGGGCGGCAGAAATGCAGGAGAAAGCTAGGATGCTGGGGGGGGAACTGTGGAGATCGGGGAAGGCCTCACCCCCTGCGCATATGTAGCAGAGACCCGAAGACCAGCTGGCCTGCAGGAGGTGCATGCACATGCGCAGTGGAGCTGGGCTGGGGCGACGGCTGGAGTGCCCACAGAGAGGGCTCTGCTTGCCACCTGTGGCACGTGTGCCATAGGTTCGCCATCATGGGTCTATGGCTATGCCATTTTTTAAAAAAATACTGTGAGTATTCGTTCGGCAAAGCTGCATAAAACAATCTCTTTTTATTTCCTTAAAGGTCACCTAGAAAATATAGAAGAGCCTCTCAGGAAAAAAAAACAGCATTGGAGCCTAAGGAAAAAGAAGACCGTTATAAATTGCCTTTACCGCTTGAGCCAAAGGACGATGTTTATTTGACCTGGTGTTATCAAAAACAGGTTTATGACACAGAAACAGCTGTAGAGCTTTTGAAGAAATTTCAACCACTGGATTTTACACCTCCCACCCAGGAATTGTACGCACACATCACCTTGGATATGGCATCGGAAAAGAAGGTATTGGGTTGTATGTACCATTCCCTTTTTTACAGCCTGATCCCCTGATTCTCTTAACAGCCATGTAATTTCCTTAATGACTGTGGACTCACTTAACTGTTGTAAAATTGAGTCAGGTCATGGGGTGACCCACTTAAGCACAATGTCTTACGATAACAATTCCAGGACAGATTGTGATTGCCAAGTGAGGACTACCTGCAATTTACATTTTATTTTTTTTTAATATGTATGTATAGTTTTTTTTATTAATTTACAATATGACATACAAAGAGAATACAAAAGTAAATATTAGGGAAATTAGGGAAGGAAAAAGGGAAGTGGATAGTGGGGGAAAGCAAGGGAAAAAGGGGGGAAAAAAGACATTGACTTCCGACTCCTTTGGTGCAGTAAAATAAGGCATTATCATCTACCCTCAACTCTTTACTTTTTCATAATAATATAAACTAGCCACTTCTATAACAACAAATCTATCTACCGTATTTTTCAGACTATAAGACGCACCAAGATTTCAAAGAGGTAAACAAGAAAAAAAAAGTTTTTGCCCTCCCGAGCCGCCAGGAGCACTCTGCAGGCCTCCCAAACCCTCTGCGCGTCCTGTTTTTGCGAAAAATGGGCCAGTTTTTTCACAAAAACAGGGCATGCAGAGGGTTTGGGAGGCCTGCAGAGTGCTCCTGGGGGCTGGGGAGGGCAAAAACATGCTGCGTGGGGTGTTTGGGAGGCCAAAAACAGGGCACGCAGAGGGTTTGGGAGGCCTGCAGAGTGCTCCTGGGGGCAGGGGAGGGCAAAAACATTTGTTTTTGCGAAAAATGGGCCCGTTTTTGCCCTCCCCAGCCCCCAGGAGCATTCTGCAGGCCTCCCAAACCCTCTGCGCATCCCATTTTTGCGAAAAACTGGCCTGTTTTTCACGGAAACGGGATGCACAGGGCGGGATTTCAGGAGGCCAAAAACAGCTGTATTCGGTGTATAAGACGCACCAACATTTCTACCCTCTTTTAGGAGGGGAAAAAGTGTGTCTTATACTCCGAAAAGTACGGTAATCGCTAAAACCCAAAATCAAAGTTTCCTTTTTTTCCCCACCTCAAGCACAAAGTCCAGAAGTGGTTTCCAAGTAGAAATAAAGGTATTTGCGGTTTTTTTTCTTTAATCAAAACAGTCAATTTAGCCATATTTGCTAACTCATCAGTTTTTTGCAGCCATTCATCCATTGTGGGGATTGAAGTGACCTTGCATTTCTGTGCGTAGAGTAGTCCTCTGCCGTCAACATATATAACATCAAGGTTCTGAACATTTTTCCCAACTCTTGTTCCATTAAACCCAAAAGAAAAGTCTCCGATTTTCTTCCTATATTCACTTTAAGAATTTTCTTAAAGATATGAATCCTACTCTCAGTATTTCTTCGTTTTATCACACGTCCGCCATAGATAATAAAAAGTCCCTTCTTGGCAATTTACATTTTCGTTCATTAGTTCCCTTGAGTACTTTATGAGTGAAATTGCAAAGTATGAAGTGATGAAATAAATTTTGTTTTCTTGTGCTTATGGTTTCAGTTCATTAGTTATTTGGGTTTTATAATGTGTTTTATACATGTTTAATTTTTTAAAAAATAACATTCTCCTATGGGTGTTAGTTGTACTAAAACCAGTGAGATTATTAGATTACAAATGGGACGGGGGAAGCAAAGTCTGTTTTTCTTTATGTATTTCTTTTCTTTACATATTTATTTAATTTACCTTTCTATGCCAGCATGCTCCCTCCCATATTGGGGTAGACCAGGTGCTTCCACAGAAAAACACTTAATCTCTCCCCTGCTCAAGCTGATAAAGGAAAGAGAACTTGTGGCTCAGAGGTTAATACAACTGCCTAACATGCAGGCAGCCCAAGTTCGAATCCGAGTAAGGATATGGCTAGTTGATGAGAGCTAAATAGCTTGAAATAGATCTATACTTGTCTCCCTTTATTTCTTTATCAGCAAATATAAATTTGGTATAAAATGGTTTGTTGTGACTGTGACTGCTTGAGGGCTCCTGGATTGGAGCTGAAAGGCGACAGGGAAGCAGTATGCTCCCTCCCATATTGGGAAAACACTTTATTTATATAAATATATAAAGATAGATGGATAGATAGATAGATAGATAGATAGATAGATAGATAGATAGATAGATATATCCCCTCCATAGTGCAAAGAAATATAAACATCATAAAACCAAGCTGAGGTCATAGCAATAGAACAGTTTAAAATTGTGCTTCCTAACCATGCCAAATTCCAGATGCATGAACTTCAATTCCCAGAATTCTCCAGTCAGGCCATTGCTGGGAATTCTGGGAGTTGGAATTCACACATCTAAAAAAACATCAAAGCTTTGGTAAAAGCACAGCAAGTATGTCAATGAAAAATGCCTTCAGGCACGGCTTCTAAAATTTATTTATAATGAATCCTTTGAATGGAGTTCTGTAAACTTAAGGATCATTCCTGAAACAGTTTGAAAAATGCATATGTATGTGTGTGTGTGTATAGCTATATATCTAATCTATATAGCGATAGCTATCGGTATATAAAATGTCTCATGTATCAAATATGTATTTGTTTTATTGAATCAGATAATGTGGATTTTTTTTTCCTTTTGCACTTCCAGAAAACTGTGGGGCCATTTATTAGTACTCTTTTGTTGCCTTACCGTTTCACAGACGCCATCCCCAAGATTTTACTATTCACACAGGTGAGCTGTTGAGCATTGAGCCAAAGGTACTTCAGTCGCTTGCATGTTACATTGGCATACAACGTCACCGGGTTCCCATGAGACATGCGGAATAGTGGATGAGGTTTGCTTAAGGTGTCAAGACATTTACTTTATGTGCAGAGACTCAATTTATTCGATTTTAATGTGTGAACAGCAAGAAGGGCACTTGAGTGAAAATACAGTAGAAAAGGATCTTGGGTATCCCTTAATACAGGGGTGGGCAATTAATTTTCCCAAGGGGTCAGATGAGGAATTGGGACTGTTATGGAGGCTACCGCTGCAAATGTATGAAGGCTGGGACCATTACGAGAGTAACTTGCAACCTTCCCTGCCTATTTAAAAACGGCTTCTACCCATTGGCTGTCAGACTCCTAAACATAATACAGCACCACAAATTTCACTGGTGCCAGTGTAGTGTGTAATATGTATATATACCATAATATAAGATCATACACCTGAGTAATATAAATGTTGCACAGAATACATTGTACATATGGAAACTGTTGTGACCCAGGCCCAAGTAGTTAGTATTAAATACAAACAGTTCGAAAACAAAGAGACTTTATTAGAACAGCTGAGAATTAACTCATTCTCAGCGTAGTCCAAACTAAATTAAAGCAAATTCTTCAAAACACCATTCCTCAGTTTATCACCGACCTTGGGATAATTAGGCAAACTGCCAAAAGGCTTTTCTTGGCAAAAGTTCAGAAGCAGAAGACACCAACCAGAAATGAATACAGTGAAACAAGAAGCAATTCTCTCAACGTTGTTTTCCGGCAAAGAGGCCAAGAGCCGTTGCTGGTCTCTTAAGCCTTATGGGAGGGGCCAATCATCTCTTGGCCCTACTCCCGAGTCATCCTCTTTGCTGTAGCTGCTCTTGCCTTCTGGCAGCTCTTCTCATACGTGCACTAGGAACAGGCTCCTCCTGTTCCTCTACCTCTCTGCTATCTGCCTCTGGAGGCTCCGGAGTCCGCACATCACTCCAGGATGGCCCTGGCCCCCTCTCTGCCTCCAACGCAGAGCCCTCATCCGGGCCTTCCTCAGCCTCCAGGACTGGCCCATGTTCTTCCTCAGCCTCATCGCTGTCCGACTCCGCTGCCAGCTCCGCAGGCTGCTGGCGGACCACAACAGAAACGTATGACTAGTTTTTTCCCTAACCACTTGTATAAGTGGTTTTATATTCACATTGTCTTGACTTGTATGAACTGCACCAGTAGAGGCTAAACCAATTTCGTTGTATACATGATGTACAACGACAATAAAGGCTTTGACTTGACTATTTCCCCATTGGGTTTGTGGGTGCTAATAATGCAAATAAATATTCAATACAGGCATTCCATGATTTACAACAGTTCTTTTACTGACGTTTGAAGTTGCAAACGGTACGGAAAAAATGGGACTTACGGCCGTTTTTCCAACTTAACCACCGTTGCAGCATCCCCAGGTGTCACATGATCAAAATTCAGGCGCTTGGCAATTAGCGTGTACTTATGATGGTCACGGAGTCACATGATCCCCTCTTGCAACTTTCCGACAAGCAAAGTCAATGGGGAAGCCAGATGCACTGAACAACCTTGTTGCTAATTTAACCGTGATTCGCTTAGCAACCGTGGCAAAAAAAGTCGTAAAAATGGTACAAAACTTAACTGTCTCACTTTAGCAACAGAAATTTTGGGCTCTGTTGTGATTGTAAAGTCGAGGTCTACTCGTAATCCCGGCGTCTTCTAACTAAATCGTTTTTTATTTTCCTTTTTTCAGGATCCAAAAGAAGCAGATCTAGCAACAGAAAATGGAGCGACCATAGTTGGAGGAATCGAGTTAATTAAGCCGGTATTTTAAAAATATGTATACATTTTTTAATCACAATTGAAATCAGCTCGGTTAGTTCTTTGTAAGTTTTTCCAGGGTCAGAGCAGGGGTGAAATGCTCCCAGTTCGTACCAGATCGCCTGATCCGGTAGCGATGGAGGCGGGTGGTTCGGAGAACCGGTAACAAAAATCCCTGTCCCCCCCCCATGCCCAGCTGAGCCATGTAATCATCAGAGGCTTTTTTTTTACTTTTAAAAGCATTTTTTTTACAATCTCTTCAGCCGAAAAAAATGCTTTAAAAGTTAAAAAAAAAAAAAAAGCCTCTGATGATCGCGCGGCTCAGCTGGGATTGTCAAAGGCTTTTAAAAGAAAAAAAACCCTTTTTTTCTTTTAAATGCCTCTGACGATCCAAGCTGAGTTGCCTGATCGTCAGAGCTTTTTGAAAGCGTTTTTTTACAATCTCTTCGCCGAAGAGGTTGTAGAAAAAATGGTTTTAAAAGTAAAAAAAAAAAAATTGGCCACACCCACCCAGTCACATTACCCACCACCAAGCCACGCCCACAGAACCGGTAATAACAAATTTTAGATTTCACCACTAGGTCAGAGGTTAGGACTGGCTCATCCCTTCTACCAGAGGCAAGACACTGGGTCAACTCTATTCAGAAAACTGCAGATGTATCAAGGTTTGGCATCTGGAAAACATAAATTCTGTGGCAATGAAAGCTTGAGTTCTGCAGCTGCTGTTCACTAGAATATTTTAGGAATTTACAAGGTTTCTCCTATTTGCAGCCAAGAATTGCTTTGTTTCATCTAGTTATAGATGGGGGTCTAAGGCTCATATAAATCACCAAAAATCTATTGTTTTGACTTTTAGAAATCTTATTTGGATTTTTTTTATCTTTGGTTTCTTAGGAATTCCCCTGATATTCTACATACATTTTACAAGGAATCACTGTAGCCATAAATATAAGTTATTTTTGTGGGAAAATGAAAAGGAACACCAACAGCTGCTGAGGAGACTTAAGAATTTAACTTCTGTGTCCAAAACATAATTCTCTGATTTTTTGAAAGTCTTACACTGAACAGGCAGTTTTACTCTTAGGTTTTGCAGCCACTGTCTCCCAATTTATAATCAAGCCACAGTGTGAATTGTTTGAAGTTGCTGCGGCAAAACTCTACGTAGAGTTTTATTTTTATTTTTAAACATTTACGTTCTTTTTAGAACTCTGTTGCTAATGTAGGTCCTCTGTGTAGTAACTCAGGAGGAATGTTAACGTTTCTTGGTTAAGGTTGGAAAATGACCCGTTATGGGAGGGGGGTAACCTATCTCCTGTGTACAGGTAGTCCTCAACTTACAACAGTTCATTTAGTGACCATTGAAAGTTAGTTGACTCATATATATATATATATATATATATATATATATATATATATATATATAATGAATTTTATATATTTTAGTTTTTCCTTAAATACAACACAATCTCTTTGCAACACTTCAAATTTGAAAGAACATTATCTGAGCTGAAATTAAAAATAATGATCATTCGACTCATTCGCAGATGGAAATTTCTGGGAAATTTATATGTATGTATGTATGTATGTATGTATGTATGTATCGTGTGTGCTTCCCCGAAAATAAGACCTAGTTAAGACCCCGCCCACTCCGTTGCACCTGGTTGCACGGGGTGGGGCAAGGCGCACAGATAAAAAACAAGTTACAATGGGGGGAGGGGGGAGCTGCTTACCTTTGGTTGCAGCCAGGCCTTGCACACCCCAATACCTGCCTCGCCTTACCGGCTCACTCCTTCTGCGGCCACTTGCTGCTGCTTGCGCACATCACCCCCGCCTCCGTTTCACTGTCAGAGGCCTTCAGGAAAGGCATCTGCAGCCGAGAAATGAGCTTCAGATTGATGTATACGGTGCCCCCCTCCCCCCCCCCCCGGCCTCATTTTACTGTCAGAGCTTGTTTCTCGGCTGCAGAGGCCTTCCCTGAAGGCCTCTGGTGGCGAAACGAGGCCGGGAGGCACTGCGCGTGTCAATCCAGAGCTCGTTATATGGCTGCAGAGGCCTTTCCTGAAAGCCTCTGACGGAGACCAGGGGCAGCGGCAAGCAGCTGCAGAAGAAGTGGGCCAGCAGCAACCACACGGGCTCCTGCTGGGCGGGGCTGTTGGTGCTTCCACCGCAAGGTGAGACAGTTGAAGGCATCCCCCGAAAATAAAACCTGGTGCCTCTTTTGGAGGGAAAAAAAATATGTAAGGCTGGGTCTTATTTTCGGGAAAACACGGTATATGTATAAATATATGTGTGTGTGTATATACATACAGTGATTAATAGGTATTTATATGTTAGTGTGCAGAGATATACATATGTATGTTTATTGCATATCTATATCAGTGGTGAAATCTGGCCAGATCTATCTGGCTCGCGCGATCCGGTAGCGCCGGCGGTGGGAGGCTCCGCCCATCTGCCGGGATGTCATCACGTCCTGTTTTTTATTGTCTGCACATGCGGAGAAGAGGCACACATGCTCACATTTCCGATTCAGTAGCGAAGGTAAGTGCATTTTACCCCTGATCTATTTATGTATGTGTACACTTTTGAGAGCAGACAACAGAATTTCATTTTTAATGTGTGCCAGAGAAAAAAATGATAATAAAGGGTAATCTATCTATTATCTATCTGTCTGTCTGTCTATCTATCTATCTATCTATCTATCTATCTATCTATCTATGTTAGTGTCTCTGACTTCATCTGGGCAGTTGCTACGCAATTCCTTCACACTATTTTTGGAGGCTCTAGTCTGGCCCTCTCGCACAACTTCACAACCACACGAGAGCGTACCCCATTCTCACAGCTTCTGCAGCTTCCGAAAATCACGCCTGAACCTGGCGCACCTTTGAGGATATCAGGCAGTGGTGAACACTGGTGTGCAATCCACAAATGCGAAGAATGAGCGGAAAGATCATTATTTTAAATTTCAGCTCAGCTCATTCCGTTCTTTCAAACTTAAAGGGTTGCAAAGAGATTGTGTTGTATTTAAGAAAAAAACTCAAATACTGTTAATTTTATGTCTGCTCATGCTAAATTTGTCGCAAAGGGATATGAAAAAAATCATATTTTTTTTAATAGGTGCTTGTGTTGCATATATAACTGCCAAAATGGTAAATCATGACCAATCTTTTTATTTTTGGGGGGGGCTTTCAGATTTTAAATGAGGAAATTGAGGCAGATTTTTATATCGCAGTGCCTGACATAACAACAAAAATTAATCCTTTAAGGAGTTTTCTGAAACAAAAGTACCCTTCCATCAAAAATGGTAAGAAAAATATTTCTTTTTTTCTAAAAAAAATAAAATAAAATAACTTACTTAAAATTTTTAAAGTAAAAAGATAAAAATAATAACAACTAATAACTGAGTTAGAAGGAGGGGAAAAAATAATGCAAGATATCAAGTCTTTCCACTTTTATTCATATAAAAAATCCTGATGCTGTTATATGTAAAAGCAAAGTTCCCTGAAGTATCCTGTTTCCCTGAAAATAAGACTGATAAAAAGCCCAATCGCACTTTTGAGTGCATGCGCTAAAATAAGCCGCCCCTGAAAATAAGCCCCCCCCCCCGAAAATATTTAACCGCATGCGCAGCTGGTCCCCGCCACTTCCTCTGGTTAGGGTTAGGAAGACAGAGCTGGAAATCAGGTAAGACAGCAAGACGAGCCCCGTCTTGCTCCACATGCCCCAAAATAATAAGACCTCCTCAAAAATAAGGCCAAGCGCTTATTTCGGGGTTCAAAAAAATATAAGACAGGGTCTTATTTTCGGGGAAACACGGTACTGGCCAGGAGGTTGGACACTTCTGCATTAGATGAATGGAATTACATAGGATAAGAGCCGAGGTGGCGCAGTGGTTAGAGTGCAGTACTGCAGGCTACTTCAGCTGACTGCTAGCTGCAGTTCGGCAGTTCAAATCTCACCGGCTCAAGGTTGACTCAGCCTTCCATCCTTCCGAGGTGGGTAAAATGAGGGCCCAGATTGTTGGGGGAAAATATTGACTCTGTAAACCACTTAGAGAGGGCTGTAAAAGCACTATGAAGCGGTATATAAGTCTAAGTGCTATTACTATTGCTATTGAACTGTAAAGGACATTTTTTTTATTAGACCTTCCTTACAAAAGTGACTTCAACAATTCATATATACCAACTATCAATCAGTAAACAATGACTTGACATTTCCTTGTTTTTTGTTATTGATATTAGGAATATTTATTTTTTTTAATTTTTTTTATTATTATTCATATTTCTATGCCGCCCACTCTCCGAGGACTCTGGGTGGCTTACACCAAAGACGGTATACTAAATAGCATATTGCCCCCAACAATCTGGGTCCTCATTTTACCCACCTCGGAAGGATGGAAGGCTGAGTCAACCTTGAGCCGGTGAGATTTGATCCACTGATCTGCTGAACTAGCAATCAGCTAAAGTAGCTGCAGTACTGCACTCTAACCACTGCGCCACCTCGGCTATATTAAACTTACATGGTATGTCTGGTCTAGTGAAAAGAAGGGCTAAGGGTAACATGATAGCAGTCTTCCAATATCTGAGGGACTGCCACAAAGCGTGGGGGGATCAACCTATTCTCCAAAGCACACAAAGGCAGGACAAGAAGCAGTGGATGGAAAGTAGAGAAGCAACCTAGAATTAAAGAAAATTTTCCTCACAGTAAGAACAATTAATCAGTGGAATGGCTTTCCTTCAGAAGTTGTGGCTGCTCCATCATTGGAGGCTTTTAAGAAAAGACTGGACACCAACGTGTCTGGAATGGTATAGGACCGCGATGGCGAACCTATGGCACACGTGCCACAGGTGGCACACGGAGCCATATCTGTGGGCACGCAAGTGTTGCCCTAGTTCAGCTCCAGCAAGCATGCGTGCACCGGTCATCTGATTTTCAGGCCTTCCGGGCTCATCAGAAGTTGGGAAACAGGCTGTTTCCGGCCTCCGGAGGGCCTCCGGGAGTGTGGGGAAGACCGTTTTCACCCTCCCCAGGCTCCTAGAAAGCCTCTGGAGCCTGGGGAGGGCAAAAAACAGGCCTACCGGGCTCACTGTGCCAAAAGCGGGGGGAATGTGGGGGATCGTGCACTCATGGGCGGGCAGGGGGCATTGAATTATGGGTGTGGGCACACGTGTGCGCAAGCCCCCCCCCCACGCTTCCCCTGCTTTTGGCACGCGATGGCAAAAAGGTTAGCCATCACTGGTATAGGATCTCCTGCTTGAGCAGAGGGTTGGACTAGAAGACCTTCTAGGTCCCTTCCAACTCGGTTATTCTGTTAGAAGCTTTGTCGTGTACATGGAATTCTTCACATTCTTTTAGATTGTGCTTGGCCCATCGTCCTCTGTCATTCTTCCCAGTTGGAAAGAGAAATGGCAGATTAGCTGGTTTGTTCCCATGTGGAATGTCAGCTAGGTAAGATGAATTTAACTCTACTTCGTGGTCTATTGTTGTTTTTTTAAACAGGTACTATTACTTACAATATCCCTGAGACACTTAATTTCTTCAAAGTCTGCCATGAATATGCAGTGACTAACGACAACCTCATCGAAACCCCGTTTGCAATGGTACGTTTTATGCGGCATTTTGGCCAATGATTTGGCTGTGAGTTCAGCTTGGGGGGTAGTTTAATCATGTACCCTGTTTCCCTGAAAATAAGACCTCCCCTGATAATAAGCTCAATCGGGCTTTTGAGCGCATGGGCTAAAATAAGCCTCCCCTTGAAATTAAGCCCTTCCCGAAAATATTTAAACACAGAGGTGGAAATCAGGTAAGACGGCAAGAGGAGCCCCATCTTGCATCCACACGCCCCAAAATAATAAGACCTCCCCGAAAATAAGGTCAAGTGCTTATTTCGGGGTTCAAAAAAATATAAGACAGAATCTTATTTTCGGAAAAACGCACGTATTAAAAATTGTTTGACCAAAAATAACCACCAACGTACTACCTTGTTCTTTCCATTTGCATTTCTGCATTTTTGAAATCGATCATTCAGCAACCTAGTTAGTGCAACCTATTAGGGAATATTTAGCAAGTCATTACACGTTTTGCTAATAGAAGAGCTTTCTTTCTGAAATATCCACAAAAGGTAGATGCACATAATACTTAACTGCTAAAGAACTGCAGGTAATATTTCCTCATAGGTTGTTATTTCAGTGCTTAAAAAATAATCTTCACCATGCTGCAAATGATGTATTCCGAAAGCTAGTTTTAAAATACTCTAAATCACAGGCTTGAATCAGATGGCACCTCTGGAAGTTTAATTTTAAGGTAAAATATTTTGAAATGGCTAAAATTTTGCCACAAGTTATAGCACTGTTCTGTGATGGAGTTTGACTAAAATTTCAGGCAAGAAAGACAAAATTAGTGAGATTTCATCCATTTTAGTTGTACTGTAGTAGAAGTTAGTAGTAGTATTAGTTATAGATTTAATCTCCAGTTCGATTCACAGTCTGGCACTGGTAAAAATGTAAGAGCTCAAGTCCTAACCAAGGACCTAAGAGCTGTTAAGGTAACACATGAATATACAGTAGTGGCCAAAATTGTGGAAACCTTTTGGGAAAAGTGTATTGTTTGATGGCTAATAACACCACTTTTTTTTGGAGTTTTCAAGATAATCCTATTCCACTGCTAGAATAGCCTGGGAATAGCCCAGATCTTAACCCAATTGAAAAATCTATGGAGCCGACTAAAGAAACTTGTTAGGCAGAAGCGACCCAGCAATAAAATCCAGTTAATAGAAGCCATCATTCAATCTTGGTTTCACATTATAACAGCTGCAGAATTAAAAGACTTGGTTCACTCCATGGGAAGACGTGGTGAGGCCGTAATTCATGCTAAAGGTTACCCAACTAAGTATTAACTGATACGGTGATAATTTTTGTGTATCTTGTTTTTCTATCTTGTTTTTTTCTACGTGTTTCACTTTTCTTCTTTATACATGTTACTGCTATTCTAATAGCAAATCCTTAAAAAAAGTTATTGCATTACATTCTTCATTAAATTATCTTTCCATTGATATATAATTTTACTACTCCCCCCCCCCAAAAAAAAGTGGTGTTATTGGCTAGTTTTAGAAAATACACTTTTCCCAAAAGGTTTCCACAATTTTGGCCACTACTGTAGGCAGTTCTGAATAGGGTGATTTTTTGCAGTCAGGATATTTAGGTCTAATAAGTTCAAAATGTCCATGTATCTAGGCAGCCTTTTGTGTATTACTCCAAGGGCTCCTATTACTATTGGTACAACCATTGATTTCTTCCTCCAATGTCACTCAATTTCAATTTGCAAATTGTTTTGTTATTTTCTGTTTTGTTATTCTTATTATTATTTGCTGCTGAAATCTGAACAGGTTGCCATTTCTCACTCTATATGGGTGAAATTCTTAATAAGCTGGACATTAAATAAATCTGTACTGGTAGTCCTCAATTTACAACCACAATTGAGTCCAAAATTTCCATAGCTAACCAAGACAGTTGTCCAACTTCCCTTTGGCTGGAGAATCCTGGGAGTTGAAGTCCACACACCTTAAACTTGCCAACATTGAAAACTACATTATACATTTATATTTTATAAAATATATTTATATAAATATAAATATTTGTTTTCTCAGGTTTTCGCGGGTGTTTGTATGTAGGTCTTTGGTTATTCGGGTCTTCTCCCACGTAAAATTGGAAGTGTCTTGACGACGTTTCGACGAAGTCTCATTCGTCATCTTCAGGCTGGTGTTCTCGGCTTCGTGCTTCCAGGATCTCACATTGCTCCTGGAAGCACGAAGCCAAGAACACCAGCCTGAAGATGACGAATGAGACTTCGTCGAAACGTCGCAAGACACTTCCAATTTTACGTGGGAGAAGACCCGAATAACCAAAGACCTACAAATATAAATATATTTATATATTTATATATTTATACATTTATATTTATACATTATGCTCTATACATTTATAGTGATTGAATTTGAATGAAAATTAGAAAATACCTTCGCTTTTTTCACAACAAGGTATTACTGGGCTAAAGACACTAATGACTAAATAATATATATAATAATAAATATTTTATATATATACATACATATACATATATATATATATATATATATATATATATATATATATATATATATATATATATTAATAATAATAATAAATAATAAATAATAACACTAAAGACAGCACTTGCAGCCTTTAATTGATAAGATGTTTCTCCTTTTATTAAATAAAAAACCAGTGCATTGATTAAGTATTTACCCCAGTCCCCGCAATTTTTATAAACCTGACAGCATTTATTGTTTACTTTTTCTTTATTTTTGCATTCACTTTTTCAGCTTGACATGCCTAATGATCAGATACTTGCCAATCTGGACAGTATTATTAAGGACATTTGCAAACACAAATCTTCAAAACAAGGTGAGCCACTCTTTTTTTTATAATTTCTTAATCGATGCTGATAGTTAGTGATATTACCCAAATGGATGTAAATTGGGGAAGGGAACCATTTTGCTAGCTTCAAGGAGAAAACAGTAAAAATAATAATAATATGCATCGTCATGCTAAACAATATGCTAAATAAATATGCTAAACAATAAAGAACAGTAACAGGGAAAATGTCAGGCAAAACTTGCTTAAATAACTCTATTGCTAATAATTTTGCTTCACATCTGTGAGCAATCTTCCTTCCTCCCTTCAGAGGGAAATTGCTATAAAAAAAACAACAAACCCTTTTCATTCTTTTAAGAAGTTGTTTTGGGAGTTTTGAGAACAACCTCCTGCTTTCAAGCGGCAAAATTATTATACTGAAAAGTCCCGGGTTTTTTGTTTTTTTTAATTTCCTGCAGAATTACCTCAGTTAGAAAAATAATTTCTCCCCCTGTCAGGATGGGAAACATTTGCGCAGGAAGTTTCCCTATCTTGGAAACGTTTTGAAACAGCCTTGAAGAACCGTATCAGATGTTTTTGCGTTCCAAGTATAAAATGTTTGGGGTTTCTGAGAATTTTGTTTTAAGGTCAGGGCGCGACGCATCGTTTTGTTTTGGCGTCGGAACAATATGTGACCATTTTTCAAGGACTTGACTTTGTCTGTTCCAGCTCTTTTGAGGGTATCAGTTAAGCTGTTTTCTCCTGCAAGGACATACAGGGATTAGAATAGTTTGTCGAAGGTTGATGGTTTTGTTTTTTTTTGCAAAGTTTGGAGGACAAAAATGTATAGGTTACAATAGTAACAGTAACAGAGTTGGAAGGGACCTTGGGAGGTCATCTAGTCCAACCCCCTGCTCACACAGGAGACCTGTACTAGGGATTCGAACCGCTGAACTGCCAACCGTAGTCCTTGATTTAATGATCACAGTTGAGCCCCAGATTTCTGTTGCTAACCAAGACAGTTGTTAAGTGAGTTTTGCCCATTTTATGACCTTTCTTGCCAGAGTTGTTAAGTGGATTGCTGCAGTTGTTAAGTTAATAACATGGTTGTTAAGTGAATCTGGCTTCCCCATGGACTTTGCTTGTCAGAAGTTCTCAAAAGGGGATCGTATGACCCCAGGATAGTGCAGCCGTCATAAATATGAGTCAGTTGCCAAGTGCAATAGTTGTGCGTAGAACAGCCACGAGTGACTTCTTTCAGTGCCGTTGTAACTTCAGACGGTCACTAAACTAATAGTTGTAAGTCGAGGACTACCTATAGTAGTGGGGTTGCTGCTGTTTTGAAAAGGCTTTTCATGCAGTGAAGCACTGGAAATCACTGCTCCTCCCTTCATTTTGTTTTTGTAGTCAATTAAGCACCAGACACTATCAGAAATCGCACAGTCTATCCTGCTAATGCAGCGATGTTTAAATTAGTTTAAAATTTTGGTTAATAAATCAATAGTATTTGCCCTGTCTCCTTCCCTTTTTAGTTTTGGGACTCCCAGAGCCTTCCTTGATCTGAACAACGTTACCAAGGATTGAGAATCTTAGCATGGGCTGTACCTACTTCCTGTCATGGCAAGCAATAATATATTTCACACAGTGTGCCAAATTTGGTCCACGGTTGAACACAGCCTTGTAAATCATACTGGTTTTAAATAGAACCACTGAATACAGGTAGTCCTCGATTTACGACCATAATCGAGTCCAGGATGGTGATCAGAGCGTGGCCAGTCATTAAGCAAGTCACCCCGTGTCCACGTCTGATTTTGCAACCTTTTTCTGCGGCAGTTAAATGAATCACTGCAGGTTGTTAAGTGAACAAGATGGTTGTTAAGCAAATACATTTTAGCCAATGGGTATTTCTTGCCAAAAAACGGAAGTAAACCCTGATTTCTGGTTCTTTTTAAAAAAAACGTTGTAAATCATGGTCATGTGGCTGCGGGACAGTATAAATGAGGGCCGGTTGCTAAGCAACCAAAAATGTGATTATTTGACTGGTGGGGGAGGCTGGCTTGTCAGAACTTCAAATCTGGGTTGTTAGTAGCCTGGGGAGATCTATTGGTTGCTAAGCAACCCATCATAAGTTGAGGACTACCTGTACGTGCTGACATATGAGAAGCTCATAACTGTTTACTGTTGCTTAAAGTTGCCATTTTAAACAGTACTTTTAATGATTCTGTATGTCCATGTTAGATCAATTAATGTTGTCCATGTTAGATCAATTATGTACCAAAATAAGCTGAATTCATCTTGCTCCTTTCTTCTTCCTCTTCCTCTTTTTTTAAAATTTAAGGTTCTTTTGTAAGAAGTATGAGCATTCGAAGTTCAACCAGTGAAGCCTTGGATGTGAAAGTTGAACCATTTCTCCCCGAAAAAGCTCTGGAACAGAAGTCGGAAGAAGCCGAAAGCATCAGCGAAGAAGAAAAGCAAGAAGCAGATGATTAGAAAGGCTGCAGAAATGTCATTTTCCTTGTATAAAAATGAGAAAGGGCAGTCCTTGTAGCTTCATCCACATTTTCCCTTCAAGTTCTGGTCCTGCATGAGAAGTTTGCACCAATTTCGGAGACAATTGAATTGTCTCCAACCCTGAAGCTCCTTAGTGGTGTTAGATCAATTTGGGGCTTAGAAATATCTAGGAATTATTGATATTACAGGCTCATCGCGTCTGGGTAGCCTGCCTGCACTGACACTAATGTTTCAGTGCAAACCATTCTCCATTTGTAAAAAAAAAAAAAAGATGTAATTGCACAACGTTTTATTAAAAATGAAAAGCTTTGTGTACAGTTTTGATTGATCGTGGAAGCCCTCATGTCCCTCAGGTTTCTGTCTTAGTTGTGTTTTTCAATCCACAGACAAATCAATCATACCTTTAGTTTCGTTTACTTTATTGTCATTGCACCTCGTACAATGAAATTAAATGCCACCTTCAGTGTACATTATACATAAAAAATAAAACACAAGCACACACCCTTGACATTTTATACAATTGAATTAAAAACCCCTGATATTGCATTAATATTGCACTACACCAGTGATGGCTAACCTTTTTGCCATTGTGTGCCAGGGACGGGGGGCGGGGGAAGTTTGTGTGCATGCATGCCCACACCCATAATTTTATGCACCCCGCCCTGTGCATGTGTGCACAACCCCCCTCTCCCCCTCTCCTGGCATGCGATGACCCGGTAGGCCCGTTTTTCTTTCTCACCTGGCTCCAGATCCTCTTTATGCATCTGGGGAGGGCGAAAACAGCCTTCCCTACCCCCTCGGAGGTCCTCTGGAGGCCTGAAACAGCCCATTTCCCAACTCCCAGTTGGACAGGAAGTGGCGTTTTTTGCTGTCCCCAGCCTCCAGAGCCTCTCTTTGAGCTGAGCTGGCGTGCCTACTTAAAACTACGTGTGCCACCTGTGGCACGCATGCCATAGGTTCGCCATCACGGCACTATACCATTATTGGCGAACCTTTTCAGCACCGAAACGGGAGCATGTACGCGGAGGGGGGAATACCAGAAACCAGAAGAACAGCTCCCCAGCGCGCACACCCGGGAGCACCAGAAACTGGAAGAGCAATTCCTAGTTTCCACATGCGCATGAGCACCGGGCACCTGGCCCTCCGGTTCCTGGCGCGCATGCGTGCAGGAAGACCATCTGGCCAGCGCGCATACACACACCGGAAACTGGAAGCTCAGTTTCCAAAAAAAAAAAAAGTAAGCTGCTTGACATTTATCCCAATATTTTCTCTATTGAACATAGATTATAATCCTTATTTTGATGACTGTGAAATTCATCAAAACCCCTTTTTGCAAAAAATATTACTCATTTTCACATGTTCCACAGACACGATCCCTTCTGTTTGTTCCCTCGCTCCAAATTTGGCTGAATAATTAGAGTTTTGTACAATTCCTTTGGGGGTTAAATGTCATGGATGCAAAAATCTGGAAATATAACTCCTGCTTGGAAGCCAACAGAAATCTCCCATCACCGCAGTGCTTGCCAGATATTGTCCAGCTGTCTTCCCAGATAAATCTCTCTCGAATTTCTTTTGAACTCCAGGAAGGATTGTGTTTGCCTCTTTTCCAATAACCGCATACAGAGGATACAGTTTGAAAGTTATGCCTCTAAGTGAAGAGGAGAAAGGCAGCATTTTGTAAAATTCGTTAATAGGGGATTTGCAAATATCATTAGTCTCCCAGTGAATGGGAATGTGTTAATTTGAATCCATAAAACGCACAGCATTTTAGACCTACCGTATTTTTGGGAGTATAAGATGCATCTTTTTCCCCCTAAAAGGGGGTAAAAATTCAGGTGGGTCTTATACACCGAATGTAGCCCTGCCCATCCACTGGCCCCCACCCTTTGGCCTCTGTCTCGCAGCAGTTACCTCCTTGCAAGCAAACAGCAAGAAAAAACAGCTCCTTTCAGCTTCAGCACAGCCTAATTAGCACAAGTTGATTGGATCGGCCTCCCGACTCTCAGCTGATTTGCTCTCAGCCGTTTTGCGCAGGGTTCTGCTGCTTGCTGCAAAGAGGTAAATTGCTGGAGCAGGTTTTTTTTTTCCTTGTGCTAATCAAGCTATGCTGAAAACGAAAATGAAAGTAAAGCAGGTTGTTTGCTGTTTGCTACAACGAGGCAAAATTGCTCAGAGGCAAAGGGAGATTTCTTTTCCTTCTTCACCAAAAAAGGTAGGTGCGTCTTATATTCCGAAAAATATGGTAAATGCTGTTCTACCCGTAGTTCTTGTTCAGTAGAAGTCAGTAGCAATGAGAAACCCCGAATAAACTAGATACTCACAATCTGCCAATCATTAAACGGTCATACATGCAATGCAGTGGTGGGTTGCCCCCGGTTCGGACCGGTTCTATAGAACTGGTAGTAAAACCAGCGGGAGGGTCTGCCCACTGACCCGGATGTCATCAAAAGCAATCTGTCATCAAAAGCGATCTGAGCATGTGCAGAAACTTATGTGCATGTGCAGAAGAGCATGCGTGCACGGCACAATGCAAACCGGTAGTAAAGGTAAGTAGAACCCACCCCTCATGCAGTGGTGGTATTCAGCCAGTTTGTACCGGTTCAGGTGAACCGATAGCAGAGATCGTGGATGGGCCTGCCCGCCTGCCCCTGCTCTAAGATGTCCTATTTAGCCACGTTTTTGTAGCCGGGCGCATGTGCGGAAGGCACGCACACAAGCAAAACACATGCACGGAAGGCTGGGTACATGTGCAGAAGGCGTGTCCGTGGGGCAAACCAGTGGTAAAAAATTTTGAAATCCACCTATGCATACATGTATGTATGCTTATCAGAGGTGGGTTTCAGCAGGTTCTGACCAGTTCTGGAGAACCGGTAGCGGAAATTTTGATTAGTTCGGAGAACCGATAGTAAAAATTCTGACTGGCCCCGCCCCCATCTATTCTCTGCCTTCCAAATCCCAGCTGATTGGGAGCTGATTGGGAGGAAATGGGGATTTTGCAGTATCCTTCCCCTGGATTGGGGAGGGAATGGAGATTTTACAGTATCCTTCCCCTGCCCCCCCCCCCAATATGCCATGCCCACAGAACCGGTTGTTAAAAAAATTGAATCCCACCACTGATTATAATGTTTGCAATTTAGGAATAATTGATACAGTAATTGGTAATGCTGTTCTCACCAGAATGTAGCTTGAACATAAGAGACCCTGTAATATGCATGTAACTATCTAGACAGCTACCCCGCCTGGTGCAGGGTGTCCGAAGGCCACTTTTAACCAAGGCTAGAAAAATTGCTGAGCCCAAAAATAACCTGCAGTTTTATTTTGGTGTGGGGAAAAAATATATATTTGGCCACTGTAGGGCGCTCCACTCTTACAAAGCTCAGTCACTCTCTGTTACGGGCCTGAAACATGTGCAGCAGTGACGGTTGTTAGCAATTATAAAATAAGGCTAGTTTTTCCAGTTTAATGTTTTTATTGAGTTATAAGATAAAATAAGCAGTGGTGGGATCCTGCCAGTTTAACAACCGGTTCGGTGATTGCGCGCTTTACTGTGCGTGCATGCACAGTTTTACGAAAACTTACCTTCCACGTTACTGCTGGGGAGTAACACAACTGAGACACAGCAATTCACTCTGCTGTGCGAATCACTGAGAAGAGTTAGGTTAGTAAAGCACAGGGGCGGGCCCATTTGATCGTCAGAGCGAACTGGTTCGCTCCCAGCTGACTGCCAGAGTTACCGGTTCGCTCGAACCGGTCTGAACCGGTAGAATCTCACCCCTGAAAATAAAGTGCAAAATACAAAAGTAAATAGAACGGTGGGGAGGAAGAGGGGGGAAGGGAAGCGAGGAAGGGTAGTAATAAAAAAGAAAAACATTGACTTCTGACTCTCTCTGTTGCAGTAAAATAAGGCATTAACATCAACTCACAACTTTTTGTTTTTTGCATAATAATATAAACAAAATAATATAAACATTTCTATAAAGATCTATCAGTCTAATCAGTAAAACCCAAAATCAATTTTTTATTCTTTTCCACTTCAAGCACAAAGTTCAGAAGTGGTTTCCATGTGGAAACAAAAACATTTGTATTCTTTTCTTTAATCAAAATAGTCAATTTTGCCACTTCAGCCAACTCCACCAACTTCAGCAACCATTCGTCCACGGTAGGAATCGAAGTGTCCTTCTATTTTTGTGGATACAATAGTCTTGCTGCTTGTTTATCAACATATATAATAAAATAAGGCTAGTTTTGTGGGTACGCATGGCTGTGTTTCTGCTGACTTTAGACAACAGCTGAAGTGACTTCTAGGGCTCTTTGCCAGAACACGAGCAAAGAATTTGACAAAAAGCCAGGCGTTTGCTCCTTGGCAAACTGCAGATTTCATTCCACGAAATGCAAAATTCCAACAGCCAAAATTTACCAGTAAAGGGGTCATCCTGAAGAATGATATTCTATAAAAAATATGTATAAATTATTCAGGGCTTTTTTTTTTAAAGAGGTGAGACAAGCCGTCTGTCACTTTCAATTTGCAATAACTGTATTATTGCTTCTTAGCAAGAGCAATGGTTGAAACAAATTAGACATCTTAAATAAAGGGACTAAACAAAGATAAATTTTCCTCTTTTTTTTCTGTTCAATCATGTTCGATTCTCCGACATTGCCTGGAGACAAGTCCCTGCCGTTTTCTTGGCAAGAGTTCCAGAAGTGCTTTGCCATTGTCTGCTTCCTAAGGCTGAGAGGAAGTAGGACTGATATTGCTGTGGGTTCAATTTTCTGATGTAGGCAATCTTTGACTTACGAGCAGTTACTTAAGCGACCGTTTGAAGTTACGACGGATCTCCCCCTAGGCTACTCGCAACCCAGATTTGAAGTTCTGATAGCCACTATCACACACACACATACACACACACACACATACAATGTGACATGATCACAATTTGGATGCTCAGTCCTACAATTACAGCCATTGGCAGCATCCCGCAGTCATGTGACTGATTTACAATTTATTTATTTTTTTGCTGGAAACTGGTGTTTATTTCCAGTTTTTGGCAAATAAAGCCCATGGCAGACAACGGATTCACTTAGCGTCCACAGTGTTTGCTTTATGACTGCCGCAATCACTTAACCACCATAAAAAAAGGTTGTAAAATCAAGCGTAATCACCTGGTAACCCATTTAACAACCGCTACCGCTTAGGACCGAAATTCCAGCTCTCAATTCTGATTCCTTTGTGCATTCATTCTCCGGACACTTACATTCAGTGGTGGGATTCAGCTAGTTTGGGTAAACTGGTTATTAAATTGCTGGCTGGCCCCTCCCCTCCCCGTCACTTCCAGGAGTTCCCACACGCCCCATTTTGGCTCTTGGGTAAATGCAGGGAGGTCTACTAGGCCCAAAATGGGGCATGGGGGGCTGCGGCATGACAAACCCCCCCCTCGTGGCCCGTTTTTGCTCCCAGGAGGCTGCAGGGAGGCCTACTAGGCCCAAAATGGGGCGTGGGGGGCATTTTTGCTCCCAGTGGGGTGCAGGAGGCTGAGTGCTGCCTGGCACACCCCCTGGCTACGTCCACCCAGCCGGTCATTAGGGCAGAGAACCAGTTGTTAAATTATTTGAATCCCACCACTGCTTATATTACATTCTGTGAGAGAAAAGTTATTTCTCAATTTCTGTGGCTTTTGGAATGGACAAGTGGGTGAGCCAATCAGAAAGCAGCTAATGGGTTTGAATCTCCCGGGCTTTTATGTTCCCTCCCCTAACTGTCACAGTTGACAGTATAAAAGGAGATTCTTGACAGAAAACCGTTGGCAGCTCAAAGGGCGGTTCAGAAGGCAGTTTGCAGTTGGCAGTTCGGATAGTTCGGTTCAGCTCTTCTGTTAGAAAACTGTGGGCAGTTTGGAAGTCAGTCAGAAGGGCATTTCTGATGCAGTTCTGATGTTTTACAAGACTTTTTCTTCTGAGGAAGAATAGCCAGAACTAACATCGCTTAGAGCGATTACATATATACATACATACATACATACATACATACATACATACATACATACATCCAATACTTTTCTAGTCAGGGTTTTTCCTACGTAAATCAAGATGTTTGTATTGCCATAGTTGGGTGATATCTCAAATCACCACTTTCAGGCTTTATCAGACATTTTGTGTTGTCTGCTGTGAGACTTAAGGGAGACTGGGATAGATCTATTTCGGCCTTATAAGGCCTCTTCAGCCAGCCACACCCTTATTTTATGACTCTTTATAAAGAGTCTTTATAAAAACTCTTTATCAGACACAAAATGTCTGATAAAGCCTGAAAGTGGTGATTTGAGATATCACCCAACTATGGCAAGACAAACATCTTGATTTACGTAGGAAAAACCCTGACTAGAAAAGTATTGCACATATAATCCTACGAATAAAAGAACAATATATATATATATCTGACAGGATAATTAAGCAATGTAATGAAATACTATTTAATATTTGAATAGATATTGTTTGTATTTTTTTATATAAATAAAATCATTTATTGTTAACTGCTTCAGAGACTCATTTGTTAAAGTAGATCTTAATAGAGATAAAGGTTTACGGTACATTGAGTTATTTACACCTCGACACATTCCCTACCAAGGCTCTTCTCCAAAGCACATGCCTCCTTGTGAAATATCTGCCTGACATAACCTGCCATTTTAAAAATAAAACAATCCCGCCAAGCTCAAAGAGGTTGTGTAGGCCTTGAGCTGACCTCTGCTTCAACTTGCAGTCCTGAATATATTCTTTATTTTCCCTCCCCATCAAGCTGCGAGGTGCCCCCTTTTGTCAAACCGTTTTTGCCATCTCTAAATTTATGCGTGGCTGAATTGCACCACAGTGGGGACTTTGCAGCTATTAATACTTTTCTCTTTTTTTTTTTAAGGATTGAATCAAATTACAGCGGAGAAGGTCAGACGGCATCTTTGAAGCAAAAGCTGTATCCTCTTCTTTGGAGTTCTCTGTCAGAAGGGAAATTTTGCATCAGGAATAGAAAACTCTCGCTGTATTTTTTAATGCAGCAAAAACAATGTATGTTTACAGGCCCTGCTCTTCATAGTTTATGGGGTTTACATTCTGCTTTGGAAATAATTTTCTTAAAAATATCGTGTTTCCCTGAAAATAAGACCCTGTCTTATATTTTTTTGAACCCTGAAATAAGCGCTTGGCCTTTTTGGGGAGGTCTTATTATTTTGAGGTGCGTAGAGCAAGATGGGGTTCCTCTTGCTGTCTTACCTGATTTCGAGCTCTGTCTCCCTAACCCTAACCAGAGGAAATGGCAGAGACTGACTGCAGATATGTTTAAATATTTTCCGGGAGGGCTTATTTTCAGGGAAGCCTTATTATTTTGGGGCGTGTGGAGCAAGACGGGGCTCCTCTTGCCGTTTTACCTGATTTCCAGCTCTGTCTCCCTAACCCTAACCAGAGGAAATGGCGGAGACTGACTGCACATACGTTTAAGTATTTTCCGGAAGGGCTTATTTTTGGGGAGGGCTTATTTTCAGAGGGGGCTTATTTTAGCGCATGCACTCAGAAGCCTGATTGGGCTTATTATCAGGGGGTGTCTTATTTTCGGAGAACGGTGTATTCATTGGATTTTAATGCAGCAAGTGACTAGGAAATACATCAGCTGCTTGAATGTGGATTATAAAACATTTTTGCTTGGGAAATCGCAATAGGAAGATTGGTCTGTAGCTTTTTCATTTTTCCCCCTTTTAACTGTTAAATAGAAGCTTGTCTCTATATCCTAGAATTGGGAAAAAAACAATCAGATATATTGAAATATGTCTATTGATTTAGAAAACCAATCAACAAGTTGTCTATTTTCCAGAATACGTCAGTCCTATTAACAGAGACTTATTTTCCCCCAGATAAATTCAGAGTTTCTGAAACTGGAAATCTCATATTTACTTGGATGGGCTTCAGGTCTTGGGATTCTCACTAGGGGCTCATCAGTTCTGGAGTTGGAGGTCTACAAATCCAGATGGCCCCCAGATTGAGAAAGCTGATCAAAACTTGTACTCACCAATACTGAAGGGTATAGCGGTAGCCAGGGGTGGGCTTCAAAAATTTTAGCAAGAGATTCTCTGCCTGGGTTTGGGGTTTGGGAGAACCTCTAGCTAAGATTCTGTGCAGTTCGAAGAACCCTCAAATCCCACTCCTGGCTGGCCCCGCCCACCCCTCCCCTCCCCTCCCCTCCCCTCCCAGGAATCTCCACCTGGCCCGTTTTGGATGCAGGTAAGTGCAAGGCATGCACAGAGGCTCGGGGAAGACGAAAAATGGATCTACCGGAAGTTCAGGAAGACTGGAAACGGGTCCATTTCTGGCCTCCAGAGAGCCTCCGGAGCCTGGGGAGGCTGTTTTCGCCCTCCCAGAGGCTTCAAAAAAGCCTCCAGAGCCCGGGGAGGGCAAAAACGCCACCGCCACCATGGTGCAGGAGGCCAACTTGGCCACACCCACCATGGCCACGCCCACCCAGCAACTGGGCAGAGAACCCCTTGCTAAAATTTTTGAAGCCCACCCCTGCCCACAGCATTAAGTGTGGCAGCCCTGAAGATCCAAAGGAAAAGATGGCCTCCAGGGCTGACACTAGGACTATTGGCCAGCTGAGACAGGTTGACACCAGAGCTATCTTTTGCCCCATGTTCTTAGAAGAAGTGTCAAACTGCAAGCATGAGCACATTCTGCCTCATCATGATTGTTGTTGCATGCTGGATGTTATACGACACCCATCTTCCCTCAACAAATCCCAAGCAAAGTCAAGCAGAACAGACCGATATCTTCAAAACTTGGCAAGAAGTCTCTGAGAGTCACGAACCAATTAAGCAAACTAATTGTCTCCTGCAAGCTCCAGTCCCCTTTCGCTCCTATTAATTATTATTTTTTATTTTTTTATTTTATTTTATTTATTTCGTCAAGTATGTATTTTATGACAGATACAAGTGTAAACAATTATAAATGAAAAGGATACGAATAAAAGAAAACATTAGGACAAGGGCGGTAGGCACGCTGGTGCGCTTATGCACGTCCCATATTCCCTATGGGAGGGGCCATTCAACGTCCACCTGTGCCTTTACTCCCGAGTCGGCCCTTGTTCCTTAGCTGTTCTCTTCTCCTGATAGCTCTGCGCATGCGCACATTGGGAACAGGCTCCTGCTGTTCTTCTGCCCCACTGATATCCAACTCTGAAGGCAGCTGATAACTGTCAGAAGGCCCTGGCCCCATCTCTGCCTCCGATGCAGAGCCCTCATCAGAGCCTTCCCCAGACTCCAGGACTGGCCCATGTTCCTCCCCAATCTCCTCACTGCCTGATTCTGCCACCAGCTCCACTGGCTGCTGGCGGGCCACAACAACAACTTTGCATCCAATTAGCATGAACTAACTGCAGTTAACTTCTCTCTGCTGGGAGAAGCAACGATGAGGGATGCTAGTGTTTGTTTAACAGAGTTTTAGATTGAGCATCATGACATCATGAATGTTGGGTGCTCCTTCCAAGCTGCACACCTGTACTCTCCCTCCAGGTGCATTGGTACAAAGATACATCAGTGTAGGAGTCCAGTGTTCCTCAGCCTTTACAACTTTGAGGTGTATGGACTTCAACTCCCAGAATTCCCCAGTTGCTGGATGGGGAATTCTGGGAGTTGACGTCTACATGTCTTAAAAGTTTCTAAGATGGAGAAACCCTGGGCTCCAGCGGTGGGTTTCAAAAATTTTTACTACCGGTTCTATGGGTGTGGCTTGGTGGGCGTGGTATGGCTTGATGGGCATGGCTTGGTGGGCGTGGCAGAAGAAGGCTACTGTAAAATCTCCATTCCCTCCCCACTCCAGGGGAAGGTTACTGCAAAATCCCCATTTCCTCCCGATCAGCTGGGACTTGGGAGGCAGAGAATAGATGGGGGCGGGGCCAGCCAGAATTTTTACTACCGGTTCTCCGAACTACTCAAAATTTCCGCTACCGGTTCTCCAGAACTGGTCAGAACCTGCTGAAACCCACCTCTGCTGGGCTCCAAGCTAGACTGATGCATCTCCCAGAGTGAATTATAGCAGCTTACAGAAGAAAAAAGAGAAAAGAAAAAGTGTGAAAAGAAAGAGAGATTTAAGGAAGTTTGTGTACTTCAGCCTTCAAGGATTAATGGTGAGCATGTGTTCCCCATTTAGTATAATTTTCTTGCTCCTTTAAACGTTAAAAGGTACAGGTGCCCAAACTTTTTTTTTTTTTTTTTTGCAGTACAAGGTAAATGTAACTGAGCATTAATATTCCTTGGACATTGGCATTCCAGCTCTAAATAGAACCCATAGGTTGGGTGTAGCCAATAATTAGTCTTAATTTAATTTTCTTTTTAAGATTAGAGAAACGGAATGTTATCTTCTGCTAACAGTTTAATACAATTAAAATGGACAACTATCGCAGGCGGGTTTATTGCTCACAGCTCCATTTGCATAACACGCCAAGCTATAAATCATGATTTATAAGAGACCGTGATTGCATTTACACTGTGGTAGAGAAGCCAAGAAAACCATGAGGTGGCTTTGTCCCTCTTTAGGAAAAATATACCTGAAGAGCTTTCAAAGACTTAAAACTCCTCAGATTCATATGTATTGGGGGAAGTGTGTGTGGGGGATTGTGGATAGCCAGACCTTTTTAATTGTTTAATTTTCGGTTTGCACCCAACTTGATGGATTAACATAGAGCTTGCAGATCTCAACAGCTTTTCTCCGAAGATTTCTGTGCCAACATAATTAAGTTAAAAATACTGACTAAGGGAAACTTCACAGATTAATTAATGGGTGATATTTATGCAGGAAAACGATTGTCCTAAAGACGAAAAGGGGAATGGCTGGTTTTGACCAGCTTTTCCTAAAATGCTGAAGACGGTTTTTTTGCGGAATTAGAAGTTCTACCTCCCGGAAAGTTAGACATTTACCTGAATGACATTTTAAATCAAAAAGTTTTGCATGTTGATATTGCATTATTTGCTGCCTGTAATTTATTGTTCTAACTCAAATACTTTGGCCACCTAATGAGAAGGAAGGACTCACTGGAGAAGAGCCTAGTGCTGGGAAAGATTGAGGGCAAAAGAAGAAGGGGACGGCAGAGAACGAGGTGGCTGGATGGAGTCACTGAAGCAGTCGGCGTGAGCTTAAATGGACTCCATAGGATGGTAGAGGACAGGAAGGCCTGGAGGAATGTTGTCCATGGGGTTGCAATGGGTCGGACACGACTTCGCAACTAACAACAACAACAAATTTATTGTTCTAAATCAGGGGTCATCAACCTGCGGCTCTGGAGCCACATGCGGCTCTTTGGGCCCTTTGCTGTGGCTCCCTGTCGGGTGATTGGCTGGTCCCACCCCTCGCTCTCCCTTCCCAGTCACTCCTCGCCTGGCCTGAGAAGGTAAGGGTGACAGCAGGGGATAAAGAAGCAGCCAGGGCAGAGACCGAGAGATACAGAGAGAGGGGGAGAGAGGGGGGGGGAGGGAGGGGAGAGAGAGATATGTCAAAAGGGTTTTGTGGTTCCCGGTGTTTTTTAACAACTGGTTCTCTGCCCTAATGACCGGCTGGATAGACCAGAGGTGGGTTTCAGCAGGTTCTGACCAGTTCTGGAGAACCGGTAGCGGAAATTTTGAGTAGTTCGGAGAACCGGTAGTAAAAATTCTGGCTGGCCCCGCCCCCATCTATTCTCTGCCTCCCGAGTCCTAGCTGATCAGGAGGAAATGGGGATTTTGCAGTAACCTTCCCCTGGAGTGGGGTGGGAATGGAGATTTTACAGTATCCTTCCCCTGCCACGCCCACCAAGCCATGCCACGTCCACCAAGCCACACCCACAGAACCAGTAGTAAAAAATTTTGAAACCCACCACTGGGATGGGCGTGCCCAACTCAATATCACTCACTTCCATCAGTCACATGACACCCCCCCTCAGCCGCGCCTACCCCAGTGGTGAGTTTCAAAATTTTTTACTACTGGTTCTGTGGGTGTGGCTTGGTGGGCATGGCATGGTTTGGTGGGCATGGCTTGATGGGCATGGCAGGGGAAGGATACTGTAAAATCTCCATTCCCACCCCACTCCAGGGGAAGGTTACTGCAAAATCCCCATTTCCTCCTGATCAGCTGGGG